GGGGGCAAGGCTCGGTCATCATGGCACAGGGCGGGCAAGCAAAGAGAGGCATGACTCAGACACAAGAGAACAAGTAACTCACTTTCCCGTGATGGTCCTCCAAAAACATTTCGAAAAGCTGAGCGACTTCTCGAAAACATTCGCGCTCGACATCCTGGACCGGCAGCTGCGAGACTCCCCTGGGCTGCTTGGAGCCGTGCGGCACCAGAGCAATCTCCTTGTCGAAGTGATCCGACAAGATTGTCTGCATGGCACGTTGGCCTCGCCTTATAGCGCCATGCACCCTGTAAATAGTATCAGCCCATGCCGCTGTTGTGATTGACGCCGAATGCAAGTCCCTGGTGAGCTTGCAGGACAAGGAGGCATGTAACATGCACAAACGCTCAGTGTCACTCTCCACGCCTTGAGACACGTCGACCTAGTCAACTTACACTTCGCCAAGAGAGATCCCAGTGTGTCTTTTTCGTCGCCTTGTCTAAATGCTTGTGGATCCGCTCCGCGAGCGTCGGCAACTCTGACTTCGCTAGGTTGAGTCGCGGTTTTGGGCATTTTGAGGATAACTAGCCGTGTTTCGAGGCGGATACCGCCGTTGAGCTTTGCTCCATCATTCCTCGGAGTACCGGGTTCAGGACTCACCGTGTTCAAGTGAAGATACAGCAGAGACTCCAAGTCATCAGTGTACCTGTGAAGACAGAGATATGCGCTCTTGCGAAGACGCGCAACTTTCTTGCCAATTGCCTCAAGATCGGCCTCCAAGTCAGCTCTCTCTTCGTCAGTCGAGGCGCCCATCAAAGACTTTTCGCTCGCAGAATACTCGGCGACCATGTCCTTATGCTCTGAGACGTATCGCGCGCCATCGTGCGCCGAGACAGGGAGAAAGCGGCTGTTTGCTGAGCGAGCGTCGTCGTCGGCGATCTGTAGCCAGCCCTCTTCATCCTCCGAGTGACTCGGGGCAAGTGCTAGAAGACTGACCCCAAATCGAGCATTGCCATGGTCCGCGAGCACCAGGCGGGCGCAGCTTTGCTGTGTGCGAGGGAGCATGAGCACATTACCGGCGTTGAGGTCGCGGTAATGCACACCGATTTCTGCATACGCTGCAAGTTGCCTGCAAAATTGGCCAAATACTTGCGCTAAATCGACCTCTGCGGTCAGAGGAGAGATGGACTGGCCAAATGGTTGGCAGAAGGCTGAAATGTCCAATCTCAGAGTCGTGCCGCGGCGAATCTGCGTCTCCCATCCGGCCTCTTGCACCATCCCAAACGGGAGCGGGGCAACTATATCCTTCCACATCCCATTTTGGTTCTCTCGCAGCAAGCGCTTCCCTGCCTGAATGCGTTGCAGAATGTTCGTCTCGCGACTATATAGGCGAGCAGTGCGCCAAGTCGCCTTGACAAAGAGAGTGCTCCCGCTTGCAGAGAGCGCTTGGCGCTCGTTGTCGACCAGGCTCGACTTCTTGACGTCCACAGCAGAGCGGTCGAAGCAGAACAAGACGGTGCGCGAACCTACGAGCGCCGGTCTGATGAAGACTTTTACCCTTTTTGCCTCGTCTTGGTGTAGACCAATGCATCCAGATGGACTGCGCTGAATGCTGCCTGTTCGCCTTGGATCCCAGGATGGCAGGACATGGGGATGCATGCACAGTAGCATGATCTTTGCGATCTCTGCAACGTCTGCCTCGCTGTGGATTGAGTAGGCGCGGCTGACGGCGTACCCATTCGCCTCAACCTGCCAAAGCCTCACTAGATCGCCACACCACGTCACCCCATGAACCCACCGGGCCACTGGATGGTCGCAAAGGAGGTTGCGCTAGAGAGGAGAGGTGCTTGATTAGCGGACAAGGGTGAACATCGAGCGGGGCTTGGAGGCCCGTGCGGCATGACTCACCGAATAGCAAAGAATTTGCTGCATAATGTGGGCTCGGCCATCTTTATTGCGCTGCAACTTGACCTCTATGACTGCGGTGATGTCGCTCCACCGTCTACGAGGTTTGGGAATCGCAGACACATCCGCATCGCCAAAGGTGATGTCGGGTCGCAACAAATTCTCCGCTCGCTCATCATCAGATGTCAAACTACGCTCGCAAAGGGTCTGTGCGCAGGCAGGCGGGAAACGAAAGCATGTGCTCGAGCTTGAGCGCGTGGATATGGACGTGGATGTGCCAGCGCAGCATTACGCTGTAGCAAACGGAGGCGACACTCACCACGCCGTCGTCTCCTTGCGCTACTGCGCGACGCTGGCAGAGTAGCATTCGAGCAGCTGATGGCCAGCCGGCGCTTTCGGCCTTGGCCTCGGCGTCCGCATCGAGCGGTCGAGCGCAAACGTCTGCGAGCTGATTGACGAAGTCGGTGATGAGACGGTGCAGATCGTTCTCATTGCCCTTGCGCTTGCGCTCCACCAAACAGCATCTCAAACTTTTGAGCTTTCCTTTCAGTCCATCATCTTGCAGCCAAGCGTCGAGCAAAGCCTGCCCGCCCTCTGCAAGCTCGACGACGAGGTATTGCGGGCAATGTTTGCCTTGAACGTCGCCCAAGAGTTGCGTGCCGATGTTGTCGACATACGTATTAGACTGGCTGCTCATCGATGCCGGAGATGACCTCGTCTTGTGAGGGGTAGACTGCGCATCCAGCAGATGAGCATCACTGCCTTCAGCCCTCTGTCTTTTCCGCCCAGCAGATGCGCCGCCGTCGGCAGAGGCAGAGACAGAACCGGAGATGGAGGTGGAGGATGAAGACGAGGTAGGCAGAGAGGGTAAAGGGGAAGGATGAGCTGTTGTGGACGTCTTTGTTGCGACGCTAGCTGAAGACTGCAGCAAAAGAGAGCTGGAGCTGGTGTTGGAGCTCTTGCCGGCCAGTGTGGCAGAAGTTGTGTGATCTACATCCCCACCTGCAGAGGTTGGGGTGAGTGAAGCACGAAGATGTTGGGGGTCTAGCCATTCCCAAATACCTCGGCTATGAGCCGTGGTGAAGGGAATCTGATCGCGGGTCAGCGACTGCTCCAGGTCTCGCGCTCCACAGTTCCTGGCATCGATGTCCACCAGACGCAGGCTAAGCGGACACCTGTCGCTTGAGTGTGCGATCATCTTGATACAGCTGGCCGGCCGGCTGGTCGAATGCGCATGTCTTGATCACTCATAACATGAGTCTTGGGTATTGTGAGAGTGAGTGGGCGTGTGGGTGTGGGTGTGAGTGTGGGTGTGGGTGTGAGTGTGGGTGTGGGTGTGAGTGTGGGTGTGAGTGTGGGTGTGAGTGTGAGTGTGAGTGTGAGTGTGGGTTGACGAGTGAAGACCACGCAGTAGTGTGTGTACCTGGCGCGCAAACCCTCAAGGCTGTGTGCAAGCAGGCAAATCACGAATGCGCGATACTTGCTTCAAGATCTGATCTTTCGAGGGCGCATGCACACCACATGCGCGCATCCACGTGACCGGAAGTGCACTTGACTTTCCCTCGAGTCTCAAGATTCAAGATTCACGATTCGCATTCAATTCAACATTCACAACATTCACGATTCCAAATTCAAAATTCGGAATCCAAAGCCCCAATCTGCTGCTTCAGAGTCAAGAGTCAGAGTCACGCGTACTCTCGACTAGTACTGGTAGTCAGAGTCAAGAGTTAACGATTCAAAGACATTCGTGATTCCGACGCGCGCATGCCACGCCTGCATCAGCGAACACGTATGTGGAGAGGCAGAAGAGTCGCAAGTAGCCTACCACCACCCGCCATCACCAATCCGCACTCGTGACTGCGACTGCTTCAGGAAAGAAACTTGAGCTTTGCTACATCAGAGGTGACAAGGGAGCGCGCAAACCCAAGCATACATCACGAAGATCACCGCGACCGAGCGCTTTGGTCGCGATCATGGCGACTTCCAGAGCGCCCGCGGGTGCAACAAGAGCACCATCCCACGTTCCCGTCTCTGGCGCACGCATGTCTCCTTCTCAGCTTGGCGGTCCATCATCATCCTCTTCCGCAGCAGTCGAAGCGCAAGCAGCGGCCGCGGCAGCAGCAGCAGCAGCAGCGACTCAAGACGCCCTCTCCGTCGTCCTCTGTACCGCAGGCTACGACCACACGATTCGTTTTTGGGAAGCGTGGAGCGGAATGTGCTCCAAAATCGTTCAGCATCCAGATTCTCAGATCAACAAGCTGGCCATATCCCCCGACAAGAGGTTCTTGGCTGTTGCGGCAAATCAGCACGTCAGGCTCTACGACTGTGCGATCGGTGCGCCTGGCGGTAGCAGCGCTGGAGCGGGCGGAGGAGCTGGCGCGGCTGCTACGGGTGGTAGCGGCAATGCTGGCTTGAATGCGGGAAGCAATCCGGTGAGCGTCGCACGCGCGAGGAGGAATGCGAAGAGCGCAAAGCGTCAGTTTGCGCGGGTGTGGTGTGGGGCCGCTGCCCAGCCTGGGAGGTCACGTCGAGTCACTGAAAGGTCGGCCATTGCTGACGTGCTCCGCTGCTGCGTTGTCAGGTCGCGACCTTTGACGGCCATGCGGGAAATGTGACCTCTTTGGCATGGCACTGCGATGCAAAGTGGCTAGTGACGGGCTCAGAGGATGGCACGTTGAAGATTTGGGATACGAGGTGAGGCCGTCAGATGCGCGTGGTGTGCGCACCATCTCCCCTGATCTTACTGACACTCGTTGCGCCCGTAGGACTTCTCGACCACAACGAGTGTACGATCATCATGCCCCGGTGAACGATGTGGTCATCCATCCGAATCAAGGGGAGCTTGTCAGCTGCGATCAGGCAGGCAGCGTCAAAGTGTGGGATCTGGGCGAGAATGGCTGCAGTCACGAATTGGTGAGGTAGCCCCTTGATGCGCAAGTGGACGACGTTGGCTTTGTACTGAAGATTGCGAAAATTGGGCTGAGCAGGTGCCGGAAGAAGAGGTCCCCATTCGGTCGGTCACTATAGCATCTGATGGCTCTTGTCTCGTAGCAGGCAACAACAAAGTAGGTACGGACGTCGGGCCACGATGATGCTTTTCATACATCTGAAGAGCTTTGGTATGCCTCACGACGCAGGGAAACGTCTATGTCTGGCGCATACAGTCCGGAACATCTGCAAACACCGCAGATCCGAGCAGCGCGGCGCAGCTGGGAGGGGACGATGGCAGCAATGGCAACACGCCCAACACGCCAGGGGGAGACTTTACAGATCTGCAGCCAGTCACCAAGTTCAGAGCGCACGACAAGTACTTGACCAGGTGTTTACTGAGCCCAGACGTGAGGTGAGTGCCTCGACGTTGACATGACCACTCGCTTGCTCTCCCGCTCACGCATCGCGCATGACAGGTACTTGGCAACCTGCTCAGCAGATACCACTGTCAAGATATGGAGCACTTCGAGGTACGAATTCGCGCTGGAAAAGACGCTCGTGGGGCATCAAAGATGGGTGTGGGACGCGGCTTTCAGTGCAGATAGCGCCTATCTCGTCACTGGTGAGTCCTCTGACGGCGTGATTGATGCTCTGCTCACGCTGGCTTACAGAAAGGAAACGATTTTCGATGCAGCCTCTTCGGATCATGTAGCCAGATTATGGGAATTGGCGAGCGGAGAGACTGTGCGGCAGTACAATGGGCACAACAAAGCGGTCGTCTGCTGCGCTCTCAACGATTCACAGCTGGAACAATGAGATGCCCCAATCCGGTTTCATCATGAGCGGAGTGGGGCCCAAAGATTCTTCGGAGACCCGAGTTTGATGCGACGGCGATCTCTGCACAGGATCATGACGCGCACTGGATTGAGATTTGGCACGATGTGCTGCCACTGTGGTGGGCCGTGCCCCTTGGCACTCGGCGTAGTCGGCCGCCTCCTCCTCTTCCTCCTCCCCGACTGCGCAGCTTGCCCACGTCACCCTGTCACAAAAGACTGTAGGCAATGCGGCTGCGCCACACCTCGAAGGGAGAAGATGCCCCATCGATCATGCCGCCGAAGCTCCATATTACACTGCGCTCCCGAAGCGCGTTGGGCTCGGCAATCTTCCGTTTCTGTCGTTTCGCCAGGGCCAGATGTGGCTAAGGTGAGATGGCCACGCGTAGAGATGCAGGCAGGCAAGGCAGACTTCCAATCGCTTAAGATTTGACACTGTCGTCTGCTCCGATAGACGTGTATGCGCGCTCCTCCAGCAAACTCCACCAGGTCAGTGAAGTTCGCGCCTCGATCTGACCGAATAGTGACGACGCTCCGCCCGGGTGTCTTTCATGGACTGTCTGCCAGATTGCCCGCCTTATGCTGAGCGTGGATTCGAGATGCGTGGCGAACAGCCAGGCACGTGAACGGATGATCGTCGTTTTTGAGGTTCGACTTGTTCGAGAGATGGCCGAGCAGCCAATCTATTCAGTGCCTGAGAACGCTTCCCGGTCACTCTCGTGTCTACATTTTGATTCCCAATCTCGCCCCGCCGTCCCGAAAATGGAGCGGCATTCTCCGCCGCTTTGTGCAGTTTTCCAATCGAGCGGGGAGGGGCACTGAATCTGACTCTTGTGCTGGCAAGGTTACTCGACTCGCACTGTCAAACGACAGAGACATCAAGCGCCCGCCCGCCACGCCCGCCAGAGTGTGCGAAGATGTTGCGCTTCTCTGACAGCTGTCTCGATGGGCAAGGCTCACAACTGTGCTTGTGGGACGGGACTTGGGATGACGCTGCTGAGACAAGCCAAGCGCCAGGCCACCGCCGCCGCCGCCAATGGTACGCGCGCGCCCTTGCACCGTGGCAGGCACCTTTGCACAGAGGTTTTTGAGCATCGCATCGTGATCGACCAATGAACCGTTCGCTCTCGACCGGGGCGCGGGGTAAATCTCAACCGCACTCCCGAGATGGCATCCCAAGAATAGCGATGGCTGCGCGTCAGAAAAGGTCCGCCGTCCCCCGCTCAGCGCCGCCCTCCGCCAATCATGCAAGATGCTCGAGTGACGGCATCTCGCTCGCATATGCGCAATCAAGCACCACTCTCACACCTCTCCCATTGCTTCGCTTGTCTATTGGTCAGGGACGAGCGAACGCGAAGCGTATCGTTCGGAGGACTTGTTGTCCGTTGAGCGGACCATATCTTCTACCCGCGTCCGCTTTGCCACCTTCGAGATAGCCGCCGTGTTAGAGGCACGGAGAGAGCTGGCTTGCCCGTCCCTCGGTCCGTCCGTGCGCCCGCCTGCCTGCCTGCCCGCCTCTACAGCCCGTGCACCAACTCGAGTTGATGGAAGCTAGATCTGGACGAGATTGTTCCTCCTTGCAGCTTGGATCATGCTTCGCTCGGCCATTGCAAGGGGGGAGGGGGGTGGCAAAGTAGATCTTGCGTGGAGGGCAAACGATGTGAAGAACGCTGGATCGAAGTGCAATTAATGTCATTTATTCATTATTCATTGAAAAGCTTGATGCGTACGTCTCGAGCTTTCGGGGTGAAGTCGGGCAAAGCAGGCCGGCGGGCAGGCCGGTCGCTAGCCAGCTTCAGCTCGGCTCGGCTCGTCTCTCTCTCTCTCTCTCTCTCTCTCTCTCTCTCTCTCTCTCTCTCTCTCTCTCTCTCTCTCTTTGTGCCGGGGAGAAGGGAGAAAGCCATCGCCGACGTCATCGTCCATCGCGTTGTGTGTGACGGCATGGATGGGGCCAATCTCCAATCTTTGTGCCGGCGAAATGGCTTACTTCGTATCCAGCCTGACGAACGAGTTGCGGAACAATATATAGCGCCTAGTCGAGGAATGCCCAAAGCAATGACGAACGAATGCCAACCCTTGCCCATCTGCTGGTAAGATTACCATCTCGCTTAGCCACACACAGAGCTTTTGAGCGCCCGTCCTTCCCTCTTCTTTCGCGCTCGTCCCTCTCCCAGACAGCGACGATAGGCTCATGTACCCGCACCCGCATTCCGGACATTGGGAGCAGCGTCACATCGCGTCGTGAATGTCGTCACAAATGGCCATTCAGCAACGCTCGACTCGCCATCGTGTTTTCACGAGCAACTCAAACGAATCAAGAAAAGACTTGTGCGCAAGACACCGGACCGTCGTAGGGCAGGCTAAGGAAAACGAGTAAGCGTCGGCAATCTGGAGTTGCAGATCAAAGGAAGACCTCGCGCAAAAAAGTACACTTACATGGCCCGCTGCCCCCCACCTGCAAAGCCTTCTTCTGCCTAGATTAGCACGGTCGTGAAACTACTACGAATCAAAAGCGAAGCGGGGTCCAGAACGCGCTAAGGAAGAGACACGAAGGACGAAAGGCTAGCGCCACCTCGGCGGAGGTCCTTCTTGCATTCGTGACTTCCCACATTCACGATTCGTGATCGCGATCGAAGGGCAGGAGATTCCGGCATCAGCGGCGGGGTTGGGGAAAAGCGGGGAAAGGATTTGAGGGGAAATTGCCCGGGGGCACTTACTTCCTGCTTTGCTTGATCATGCCGCCGTTCAATTGTAGGGCACGAGAGCCGAGGAAGGTGGAAGATCAGCAGCAGCAGCAGCATGGGCAACGCGAAGAAGCTGCAGCTGCAGCAGCAGCAGCAGCAGCTCATCGTGCTGCTGCTCCTAATTCGGCTTTCGCTATTTCTCCGCAAAGCGGCTCTTGCTCTTCCTTCGTGGGACCAAAGGCCACGGTGACAGCTGCTGCTGCGAGCGCGAGCCTTCTCATCACACCAACCAATCTCACCACATCGCGCAGCAGTGTGAATGTGAATGTGGGCGCTTGCAAGTCTGCTGGGACGACTACACCCTCCTCACGACAAAGACGATTGGCTGCGCTGACAAGCAGAGCAGAGCACTCCTCGACGCGGCGCGATACTCTCATCCGTAGCGACAGACGCATCAGACGATCCGAAGCGAGATCCCCGCTGCATTTCAACGCGCCAGCCCCGAGGGCAAGGCAGTCTGAGTGGCAAGTCAGGGCTGCTGCAACGGTGGGAAGAGGAAGTAGCTCTTCGCCGGCGACGACGGACGAAAGATCAGCTCGAGCTGGTTCGCAAGCAAATCGTCCGACCTCACCAGCCCTCGTCCTGCGGCATTCACATTCCGCTGCTCGTCCTGGTCTGCATTCGCACACCATCACAGGGCTGACTGGTCCCGCTCTGCTCTCGCGAACAGCCCCATCCAACCAGCAGCAGCGCGCTCCATCCTCGCACAATCAGTCTAACCCGTCTCGACAGGTGCCGCCGTTGCTACCATTGACTGCCGCGCCGCCTCTGGTCTCCTCGAGTGCAGCGCTCAAGCGATCCTCCTCGCTGCTTGGTGCTCCCGCATCTGACGCTCGTAGTCGAAAAGCATCCATGAATCCAGCACCGCCATCCCCGATCCATGCGCATCCGCACGCTCATCCCACCTACAGTCACGCGCAGCTACAACAGGGATATTCAAATTCACATTCGCGCTCGCAACCGCATCAGCATCCACACCCGCACCCGCATGGAGCCTTTGCATCGCTTGGCGCCACACCTTCCTCCGCATCCGATGTCGCTGCCGCAGCCGCCGCTGCCGCTGCTGCTGCCCATCCGCACTTTGCTTTTCACCGTCCCGACTCGCGCATATCAGGAGCTGCGACGAGTTCGGGCGCATATTCTCCTCAATGGTCCTCCTCCTCTCCACGTCCCGGGGACGGCGAGAAGCAAGCGATGAGACATCGCACCACTTCCAGTCCATCTGCTCATCGTACCGCATCATACTTTGTTCAGCAGTCAGCTTCGAGCCCAGGTAGCGGCAACGCTAGCACACCCAAGATGGAAGAGGTGGCGAGCATGACGGGATTTGGTGGTGGCAGCAGCAGCAGCGCGACCAGCGCAGCTTTGGCCCACGACATGTCCGGACCGTCAGGAACGACATTGAAGCGCAATCAGGCGTGTCTTAGCTGCAGAAAGCGCAAGGTGAGAGAGTTGGCCAGGGGGAGCAGCTTGGTATGGAGGGTGCGACGTGTTTTTCGGCAAGCCCGAGGTCCGCTCACACTATCCCGCCACCCCCCCCCCCCCCCCCCCCCCCCCCCCCCCTCTCGATCTCGAATGCGACTGCGACAGATGAAGTGCGACGCCGTTAGACCTCAATGTGGAACTTGTCGAAGGTCGATTGCGAGCGCGGCTAGCGGCAATCATCCCTGCCCCGTGCCAGACAGACCTTGCGAGTACGACGATGTGGTCCCCACCGAGGTTGGTGGACCTAGCGTATCCATTCCGCTCGACGGCGATTCCGACATTCCTTCTGGCTCCCTCAAGCTGACGCGTCCCAAACGTCGAAGAGCAGAGACGGATGCCGGAAATCTGATGAGCGATGCGCCCAAGCAGCACCACCAGCATCAGCAGCAGCAGCACCACCAATCGGAGGATGTGATGTTGCTGCAGCGGCAGCTGAAAGATGCCTTGGCGCGTAGTGCCAGATTGCAAGAAGAGATCAGAAGGATGGCGGAAAGCAGGTCGATGGAGTCGCACGACGTTTCCAGATTGCCAACGCCAGATCCGATGATGGAGGAAGGGGGCAGAGCGTTGGGTAGAAGATGGGGCACAAATACGGTGCCCATCGAAGCTATGCTCTCCCCCGTAGCAGGCAGCGGACCGCCTCGAAGACAGCGACTGCGGTATCCGGAAATGCGACCACCCATCGATACGCACCGAGCCGTTCAAGGTAGCGATGCCCTTCATCGAGCTCTATCGCCCATCGACGGTCCTGGACCGACAGACGATCTGCCCATCGTCCTTCAAAAGACGACGTTGAACGATTCGACCGCGCAGCAACTGTGGCCGGATCAGGACCGCGAATTGCCAGATGGGAGCGTGATCACGCACCTTTGCGAATTGTTCTTCAAGTATCATCCCCTGCGCCTGCTGGTGAACAAGCAAGTATTCGATAGGGCGCGGGAATGGACGGCTGAAAAGCCTTGGAGACCAGCTAGCGCTCTGATCCACGCCATTTGCGCCGCAGCTTGCATCTACTCGCCCTACAATTCGGACAGGCTGGGGGAGAAGCCGCCAGAGGGCGATCGCCGCATCCCGTTTTTGCGTCATCCGAGCGAACGACCAAAGATTGAGGAAAAGGGAAGAAGCTTCAAGCAGTACCATATGGGACAGGCGGTGGCCAAGGTGGAGGAGAACGTGTTCAAGAACAGCGTCAACCCTACGCAGTGGATCAATGCGGCCATCATCGTGTGCTACGAGCTCTGGTCGGATATCCGCTTCAGCGAGGTGCGTGCAACGCCAAGGGGGTCTCGGTCGGTGGGGCAAAGCGCCCGCCTCCTTCGTTCATGTCCCACTGACGCCCCGCCTCCCTCCTTCCTTCCTGCCCACTCGTCTTGCAGGCCTTTTTCATGAGCAGCGCCATCACTCGTAGTCTGTGCGTGACAGGTTTGGACAAGGTGTCTGGCAGATTGGCAGAGAATCCTGCGGATGGAGGGATTCTAGCACCGGCAGAGGATCTCGTTACGCTGCACGAACGCCGACAAACGCTGTGGTGGGCGTACATTACCGATCAGTGCACTAGCGGACCCTTGAGGTGCTACGAGGGCTCTTTGGATGACAAGGCCGTCTCTACGCACATACCCGATGCCGCCGCTGCCGAGGCTGGCAAGAAGGAGCCCTTGACTCAGAATCTCGGATCGAGGGACCTATTCTCCACGGGTCATGTGGATGACTTTGCGGTGAGTGTGTTTTGCGCCGCACAGGCATGAGATCGCGCATCAGAAGGGACGACTCAAACGGACGCGCTTTGCCCCTTTCTCTACGCCACATACCCGCGCGCCCCAGCTGCTGATCAAGGCTTGCGTGCTCAACAAGCACGTCTTGACGTTTAATGCTCGTCAAAAGGTCTACTTGCGCCAACCTTCGGCCATGCCCTCCATCAGCAAGTGGCAATCTCGCATCGACGAGCTCGAGTCTACATTTGCGCCGTTCGATGCGACGTCGGAGCAAGTGACGCCGGAGAGAATCTATGCGCACGCTAATCTGCAGATGGCCATCATCCACTTGTTCGAACATCGAATGAGCCGAGAACCGACGGTGGATGCGGATGGAGAGGACCGAGCTTCTGCGGACGATGAGAGGGTGCGAAAAGCCTGCTCGAACGTGGTGAGGGTGGTGAGGGATCTGATTAGGTGCGAGTACGATTTGAGGAGGCTGCACGCCCAAGTCTATCTGGCGTGGGCCACGACGGGCAGGATATTGCAGTGCGAGATCAATCGAGCTCAAAGAACATCCCTTGCTGGCGCCACGACGACGATAACGACATCGAGCAGCACGACGAATGGTGAAGCGGCGGCGACGGCGGCGGCGGCGGGAACAGAGGCGCAGCGAATAGCGCTGCTGGCTTTGGAGGAGGAGGCCAAGTCGGGCCTGCAATCCATCCTGGAAGCGCTTGCGATCGGTGGCAAGACTTGCTACAAGGCATCTCATGCCGCTGGTCTGCTCACGCAATTCGCAAATGGAGGCCTTCCAGAGCTGGCCATGGCGGACCTGTTGTACATCGATGGAGTCATTCCTACCGAAGGCACCATGCAAGAGACTTGAGAATACTTGTTACTTGCTCGAGTCGAGGCTTATCGCCCCCCCCCCCCCTCTCCTGGATTCCCTTTCAAGAGGTCGGGATCATCACACGTCACTTGCTTCTTGCGTTGCGAAATGTAACCATTGCCAAACGTCTTCATTGCGATGTGATTGTGGTTGCTGCCTGCTGCGCTGCTTCCAGCCCGGAATGAGTGGTCATGCAGCGAGCGCGAGTGCTGCTGGCGTACCGTATGCTAGCATATACGATGGCTCTACGGTATATCGCGCGGGCTGGCTAGCTGCTGGCTGGCTGGCTGCAGCTCGATCGACGCTCGGAGTCCGGACCAAGCAAGGTGAGTTCGTTCGTGGAATGCGTTCGGCTATTATCACAGCATATGGGCTTGCATGTGTTACAGCGGCACTCTTCCCATGCACGCGCTCGACATAAGCACGCGCCAGCAGCAGGACTTGGATCTACGCGCGCGTGTGCGCAATGAATGGCAGAGCAGACGAGAGAGAGGGGGGGGGGGGGGGGGGGGGGGGGGGGGGAGAGAGGGAGCACTTTTTGGGAATTTTGCCGGAGCTGCTCTCCCTCTCTCCCTCTCTCCCTCTCTCCCTTTCTCTCTCTCTCTCTCTCTCTCTCTCTCTCTCTCTCACACTGTGTGTGCGGAATGAACCCTCCCTCGGACATACCTCGATATATGGCATCCGTTGCTGACTCACGCGCTACTGCTACTGTACTTTGCCGTCTTGTCAAGCAGCCAGTTCTTGTGCCGATATATGCTTCGAGGATCCATAGACACGCCTTGCGTTGATTGTGATTGTGGCTCGTGCGTGCGGGCTTTGAATGGAGGGCGCTCGGTGCTGGCTGCTTCGATGCTGGGCGCGCGCGCGCCTCACGTACCACCTCCGCATCGTATCGTACACGTGCACCCCCCCCCCCCCCCCCCCCCCCCC